TTGGGAACTGAAGTTGAAGACTTCGGGGAGCACATGGACAGAGGACATCCTCCCAGAATTTGACTTTCCCGAGTCAGTAATTTCCCTACTAGAACTTTTTCATGTCCATACGTGAGAACCAAGCGCGGTTGGAAGCAGAATTTGAAATCTTTAGATCGTACGTGGATGTAGACATCGCCCTAAAATTTGAGCTTTCTAGCATCAAAACTTCCACGCTTGCATATGTTAGAGCTCGGATGCGCGTGAATGCTGGTACCAAGTTTCTGGAATTACACTTAGCCAAGCAATTCACTGGCAAAATTTCAACATCTGAGCTTTTCTGGTTGCCTGGAGGGGCCTACACAATCAGATACACTCACACGCACAAACATGCATGCACACAACACGGTTTGCCACAATGTGTTTTTTTGCATTTATGCAAAAATTTGTCAGAGAAAGGAAACAAAATAAAGACAAGATGGAGGAGAAAAATCAAGTGTAAAAAAGTAAATTTTTACTTACAACTTTTCTGCATAACTTCTACAGCTGGCAAAGTCCATCCATTGAATGCACGTAACAGAGTGGATGCTAACTCTATTGCGCTTTCCATTTCTCTAGAAGTTGTCAGATAAGTAAAAAAAATTACTTTAAATCCGATTGATAACAAGACACTGAAAAGGCAAGTACACCATTTCCTCAATTAATGGATACATCCCATGTGTCGTTGATGAAAAAATTTCTCAAAATCCCTTATTCTTCATGGGATGAAGTTTTTGGAAAGAGGTCTTCAGGGCCTCCGTAAAAATTTGTTTCGCACAACAGGCGAGGAATACCCGAAACATCAGGTCATTTCTTGGGCTGGACAGACAAGAGACGCAAATCTTTCTCCCTGAGATCTTTCTCACTCCACCACCACAAATAACTTGGCAGCCGTGTTTTTACCTTTGCTTGCTTTCGTTCTGAAAGACGACGAAATTGCAGAGGATTTCCTCAATGGACAAAGATTCGAACGGGGGGTAGCCGAACGAGCACTGCACCGCTTCGCTGTAACAGCTTCTGCGAAGCGCCCTCAACAAAGCTTTTCGCATGTGTTGAACTGCCTGAAAATTGAAAAATACTGTCCAGGAATCCATCTCTAAGCAAGCAGCGAATGACATCAGCTGATGCAAGAAGAAAAGTGAAATATTTCTCCTCACCTGGATAATTTCAGGATGCTCACTGCCCTTCAGCCGTTCCTGCATCTTCTCCACATCCACTACCATCCACATCAGCTTTCGCACTTCATCACTGTTCTTCACACGGGCGCTCTCCAGATGCTCTTCTGGAAGCATTTTCGCACACAGTACACTCCCTCACTGCCAGCTGGATGCAGCAACACCATGATGGAAAGTTCTTACATGAATACTGCTACGGAATTCTTCGTGACGAAAACGAAACACTAACATTTTACATACTTTTATTCAAAACAAAATCCAGGACTAATCTTTTACAGTGCCCCTTCCCCGCCCTGTTTCTCGAGGTCTCACCGGATGCTACTTCTAACCTTTATTTATTTTTGTCAGCATGTGGTAGATGAAGTGATTAAAATGATATCGATCCGGGACTCACTGAGCAGCAGTGAAGAGGTGATGCTCAACAATCGGGTCACCCAGCCACCCACTTCTTGATCTCTAATCTGAGTTGCAGTATCAGCCAAAAAAGAGCTTGATTGCTACTCATACGGACTTTTTGAAGCACAAACGTGCATCACCAATAACTGATTATTGCTCCACACGCCTATACACTCCGCCAAAATGTGCATATGCAGAAGTTTTTTTGTTAGCAAGCTACTGTTGCTTACCCAGCGAGTGCTTACACATCCAGCAGTGTTTGCAGGGCAAGTTGTTATCCAAAACGGGGCTGCTGATCATGCATGTATTCCCGTTACTGCAAGACGGCTTCCACCCAGGGCAACTGCACAGCGAACATTTCGTATGCATCGCAAGTTTTTCCCAGTCCTTTGCATCAAACAGCTCAGCTTCCTGCTCCATTGGCGAAGATAATCCCGTGACATCCAGAGAGGCACATGGTGATTCCTGGGAATTACGTTCATCTGTTGCAACGTCCCTCACATTTGCTCCTTCTTCTATACAGCGCTGCTGAATAGACTCGTCCTTCAACCTCAAAACGAAGCACTATTAAATCGCTCGTTGCAACCGTTCAAAAACACGACTAGAACACCAGTCAGGAAGGAATGCAGAAGAGAGATTACATGCCATTTCGACACAGTACAGGCAGTTTTCGTCTTCTTTTTGTTTCTGACAATTTTCAGTTCTCATTTATTAATAAAAAGTTTCTTTTCTTCCTTTGATCCCGATACGATACGTCTATTCATTAAACAGAACATATATATATATAT